TTTCCATGATTAAACCATAAGACTTCAGGGGGAAAAAAAAAAAAAAAACAACAGGATTTCAATAGCACAGACACCATTTCACTAAATAAACATGACTTCCCCAAGGAGCACTAAGCACCAGTAGAAGGGAGCTGTCCAGTTACACATGCTTTTCTCTGTGTTCATCTTGCCAAGCTTCATTCCTAGTATTTAAAGTATTTTTGTGCAACAAATCCCCTAACACAAGCCAACCTCTTCATGTGGTGCTCAACTTAAAGAAATTGGTTTTTAAAGTTTATGAAGGAAAAACTAGCTATTTTGCACTCCTGGGAGATGGAATGAATGTATATTATAATTCATAAATACTTTAAGGGATTTTAGGGGGTTATTTTAACTAAAATCTACTTTTTTGGTCATGTGTGCCAACCTCACAACTCACTGCATCTGAACATACAACTCCAACATAAATGTACTCTATTTCATTAGTTGTAGCAAGAACATAACACACTTCAATGCCAGAAGGATATCTTTATAAAGGCTACATTCAGAAACATTCCCTAAACTTTCCAGGTCAACTCCATACCTTTCTTTTTAGTTACTCCTGAATCCCCCAATTTGTACTTTTTCCTCTGGATTATTATTTAACCTGATCTAACCCGATTTCTATGTTCTTCCTACTCCTAGACAGAGGTGAAAAGACACTCAGAAATCAGTCTATTCCTCCCCCCAAGCTTACAGAGAGCTACTGGCTGGAGACGCCAGTGAGTACCATGTAACAATAAATTCCTTATCCTCTAATACGAATTTCTACAGAAAGGGAATATTTAATTGTACACAGTTCAGAAAAGAAAAAAGAAAAACTTCAGAAAAGACATTTATAAAGCACAAAATGCAGTGAAACAAAGCATCTCCTTGGCATTTAGAATCCTCAATACTTAGTTCTGATTATTAGTGATCTCCAGAACATAAGGGAATCCCATAAAATTGGGCCTCTTCCTTACAAAATTTTTGAATACACTTAGTATATAATTTTATTCTCTAATGTCTTATTTTTGTAATTTTTGTTAAAGACTTTATTTATTTGACAGAGATCACAAGTAGGCAGAGGGCAGGCAGAGAGAGAGAGGGGGAAAGCAGGCTCCCTGCTAAGCAGAGCCTGATGCAGGGCTGAACTCAGGAGCCTGAGATCATGACCTGAGCAGAAGGCAGAGGCTTAACCCACTGAGGCACCCAGGTGCCCCTTATTTTTATAATCTTTATCCCTGATGTTTTATATATTAACTCTTTACTTTGAAATAAAAAAGCACTGAACAAAAAACACTATACAGGTTTGGAAATTATTTTTAACAAAAACTACAATAAATTTTTCAAGTTTGATTTCAAGCTTTCAACTTGAATTTTTAAAAATAAAAAAGTGAAAACAACTTTTCATTTTTTTTCAACTTTTTATTTTTAGAATGAGGTATAAACATTGAGGGAACAAATCTTGAGATAATGTCTAATAGCAGCCTAAACTAAGTCACAGATGCAAAAAGTTTTCTGTGACATCAGGATATAATTCCTTTAAGGCCCACTTCTTAATAGCATACACTCTTTATTTTCTTTTAATAGATTAGTGCAGAATGACATATGAATTTTACACTAAGATTTAAAGGAGGCCTTTCAGATCTTTGATTCAAAGTCATGAATCAAAGAATTATTTAATGACCTTAACTGAATTGCAAAAATTCCTTATAAAATTCTAACTAAATATAATAATATTGCTGACACATACTAAGGAAGCATTATTTACTTTTTTAGCTTGCTTAATTAAAGTGCCTAAGTCTGATCTGACCGCTATACGCTCACAATAAGGGTGACCTTCAGGGGCCAAAGCCACAGGCTGTGTCATAACCTTTTCCTTTTTTTTTTTTTTTTTAAATCACAGGCTTCTTTGAGAATCTAATGAAAGCTAGAAAGCCTCTTCTCAGAAAATCCCATATATGTACATACTTACAAAATTTTATTTATTTTTTAAATATTTACTTAAGTAATCTCTACACCCAGTGGGAACTCTAAACTGAAGACACTGAGATCAAGAGTCACACACTCTTTTTTTTTTTTTTTCGATTTTATTTATTTATTTGACAAAGATCCCAGGTAGGCAGAGAGGCAGCCAGAGAGAGAGGAAGGGAAGCAGGCTCCCTGCTGAGCAGAGAGCCCGAGCCCAGGACCCTGAGACCATGACCTGAGCCGAAGGCAGAGGCTTTAACCCACTGAGCCACCCAGGTGCTCACACACTCTTCTGATTGAAACAACTAAGTGCCCCACATACAAAATTTTAATACAGTCTTGAAAAGAGGAGTCACCACAGAATCCATCAATCCCCAGGAAATAATTATCATCACTGATTACATAGGAAGAAAGCCTTAATACTCAGCGCTTTTGGTTTTCATACAGATTCTCATCAGAACAAGAAGAAACCTGTGATACCTTTTGTTGCACAGTTACCATAATTGTTCCAAGGCCATAGCTGCCAGGTTCTGCCAATTGTCCATCCCTGCTCTGCAATCCCAAGACACAAGACCTTCTGCCATGGACACCTCCAATCCTCCAGATCCTGCAAGCTATTCTGATCTACTGTAGTTGCTGACAAGCAGCCAGCCACCCAGTCCACCCTTTAATACCTTCAGTGACACAGCTCAGTGTTTCAAAAGGCAGGCCACTGCAGTTTTAGACTACTCTCAAGAATTATAAAGTTCCTGGGGTGCCTGGGTGGCTCAGTGTGTTAAGCCTCTGCCTTCAGCTTTGGTCATGATCTTAGGGTCCTGGGATTGAGTCCCCCTCTCCCTCTGCCTGCCTTTCTGCCTTCTTGTGACCTGTGTGAAATAAATAAATAAAATCTTTAAGAAAAAAAAAAATTTAAAATTCCTTTCTAATTTGCCTACCCAGGTTTGTAAACTTTAAATGCTGCCCTACTGAATTTCTCCTCTTTTCACTTACCAATAGGTAAGAAAACAGCTTACCATTCGAAGTACCTAATCCTAAAATCAGAAGCAAAAAATCATTTAGCTCTCCTTGTACCAAACAGATAAGCCAGAATAATGATGAAAAGCACTTTCTATTTGGAAGTCAAAATATAAGAGATCAGTACAGGTTCAGTTCAAGAAAAATGCAAGGTTTCCAAGTACAGGGCTTGTGGGCTTCTTTCTCACTGCATAAAAAATTTAAAATGTATCAACATTAAAAGATTCAGGTTATAGTCACTTAAAATTAACATCAGTTCTGTCTGCAAATAGTTTATTCTCTATATTTCTATTTATGCCTGTGATTCTGTTATAAACAGTTCTAATCAATGCAATATAAATATAGAAGTCATTACTTATTCATCAGATAAAGACTGGCTTTCAAGAACTGTTAAGCTGTCTCAATCACCTTCAACAGCTCCTTTCTCACAGTAAGAAGTATCTCTTACTGAAACCAGTGTATTAACAAGGTCCATTCAGCATATATAAGTAACTTCTGATGCAAATGCTTGTTTCCTCTGAAAACAAAGGAAACATTAAAAATTTTATGTTATTTTCTTCCTTAATCCCACACTAGTGCTGGATAAAAAAGATTCACGGGTATTTTGCAGTGACTGATGTAGTCAAATCAGGTAAGAACAATGTTAACCAACAGTTAATTGGATTAACAATACGCAAAATCTCTTTTTCAAAGGACTACTCAGGGGGGCTTGCTTTCCTGGGCCAAGTCTCAGAGAGGCAAACAATGCAGAGACCAAAGAAGAGTTACCTTGTAAGGAGCTTCTTTTTGGTCCTTCAATAATTAAACTTCCTGTAGAGATACAAAGATCTACCTAAATGAATTCTGCCTTATTGTGCAAATACCGCTGGGACTCTAGTTCCACAGATTTACATGGCAGGTATACAACAATCCCATGGTTAAGGAATACGTTTCCTGATAAACACTCTATTTTTCCACAGTAGTTTCAAGAATGAATGCTGTGTTTCAAAAAGACCAAAAAAAAAAAAAAGGCAGTGCTACACATCACCTTACCAGAACTGCCTGACATACAAAAGGTATGTTAAGCTCAGAAAGACAGCGCCCCGAGCATTTCACTTGGGATAAAATTATCTATGTAATCATTTTAGTTGATTCTTAAAACTGCAAATTATTTAATGTATCAAAACCAAAATACTTACTGCAGAATTTTCTTACAGTCCATACTGTTGGATACCCTATTATTTAAAATTGAGTCAGTTTTAAATCAATGCAGTAATATTTGTACCCAAGCAAATACTATGAATCTCGATTTAATTATGCCTTTTTTTTAGCACATTCTTTCATGAGCTTAATATTAGACAACTGAACACTCGAAATAGCGTATTTAAAGCACAGACTACAGATAGTCAAACACTGCCCCACCCCTTGTTAACAGAGGATGACTGGAATATTTTAATACGCCCCATCACGTAGTAGTACAGCTATAGAACCTGCATATTGGCGTCGCAAGTTGCACATTTTCCAGTGCAATTTATACTTTAAAAATTCTTTGCATCATCCTCAATACCAGATGTCACCAACATTCAGGTACACTGAAGTAACTGATAACCACAAGCCCCGTAATTTTCCCCTCTCCACATAAAGGCGCACTTTTCTCATTTCCTCTAACGTGAAGTCGCTGAAGGCGTTCTTGCCAATCACTACACAATTAAGTTTATTAATTGGGAGGCTGGAATCACCACATTAAGAAAATTTCAAACAGTAACATCGCAAAACAAGATACAAATGTGAAAAAAGTCTTTCTGCTTAAATACTGAAAGATGTTACAATTTTGAGAAGTATTTGCGGGATGCCAAGCAAGATTTCCAAAAGCCTCCCCTCCCCCATCCGTAACCACCCCCCACCACCCGCCTGCCGCCTAGGTCTGGAGGTCGTTTATCTATCTAGACGCGGCTGGGATGCTACTCACCAAGTTTTTCCACCAACTTGAGCATCACCCCTCCAATGTGCACCTCCCCGGTCACTCTTAGGGTGACATCGCGGTTCAGGTCCGTCACATGAACACTCAGTTCCCACGTCCCATCCGCGTAGCAGCCATCTGGCATCCTTATCCCGTCCAGAGCCATGGCTCCTTCCTGCGAGCACGGAGGAAATGGCTCTCGTAAGCGTCACTCCCTCAAAGGAAGGCAAATCCCACCGAACTCGCAGAGTCCACCGCGGAGCGGGAGAAGGTGGAAGACCCGAGGGTTTCCGCATGAACTCGGGAGAGCAGCGGTGGGGCGGGACCGCTGGCGAGATTCTGCGCCCCCGCGCCCTTCCCGGCGGCCGCCCAGCACTCCCGCCCGCCGCAGCCCTCGGCGGACACGGCGCCGCCCGTCCGCCCCGCGGGGCCCCAGCCTAGCGGCCCTCGCCTAGCGGACCGCGGCGGGCTTCACCTGCCGGCCTGCAGACCGCACCCCGGCCCAAAGAGACGCAGCCCCGCGGGCTTCACATTCCTCCTCCCCGCCCGCGCTCCCTCTCAGGTCCCAGCCCGGATCCCGGCCCCTCACCGCAGGCTCCTCGCGCTCCCGGCCAGGGGTTCGCGCTGCAACAGGCGCGGGGGCGGCGGCTCTCAGGGCGGCGGCGTCGGTCCCCCACCTCAGCCGGCGAAGCGCTGCCTCCCGGCTGGAGCGACTTAATGGAGTCCTGTCGTCGCGGCCCCTCGCGTCTCTCCCAGCGCTCCACCCCTCTCTCCCCGCCCCCTCAGTCGGAGTCCGGCTCTGGGAGGGCGCGCCGGCTCCCTCCTCCTCTGCCCCGCCGAGCCGCCCGGAGCGGATCTGGCGGCCTCACCCACGTCCCTCACTGTCCCCCGCGGCCGCGCTGCGGGCTAGGGGCCGCGCACACTCCCGGGCTGGGGGCGGGGCGGCGCGCGCGGCGGGGGTGGGAGCTGTGCGGGGGAGGCGGGGGGCGCCCGCGGCGCAGCAATCTCAGCCCCGCCGAGCCACTGCCCTTTTATGGAAATGAAGGACCGGGCGTAGGGATTGAATCCAACATCCGGGCTCTCGGCGGCGGGATCTGAGGAGGGGGAGCGAGGAGAGGGAGGGCGGCCTCGCGCGGGGGAGCTGCGTTCCGTGCTCGGGTCTCCGACTTTGCGGGAGCGCTCGGCGGTGGGTGTCTGTGCTTCCGGCGGGAGAAGGGGGCTTGTCCGTGAGAAATGGTCACAGGAAATTCCCAGGGCAACGTCGTTTTCTGGAAACAAAGTCCCCCGCCCCCTCCCCACGCCTGGAGCAAGTCCAGAAGTCTCGGGGCAGGAAGAGGTGCCGCACTCCGGGAGCCGGAGAGAGGGGTTTGGGACGTAAAAACTTTAGAAAATAAATGCCCGGGCCAGCTCCATGAACATCCCACAAAAGAATGAGAAAACCCAGAGGGAGGTGAACCACAAAAATTGCTTTGCAAGCAATGTCCGGCACAACCAGCAACTCCTACTGCACTCCCAAGAGTTCGCTTGCGCTCTTAACCCGTTCGGAAGCTCCGACCCGCAGCGAGTCAAATACGCCCTACGATGCTCTTGTTTGAGGGGGGAAGAAATGCAGTAGAATGAGCTTTACTCAAAAACTTTTTCCAGCCGCTCCAGCTCTTTGCGTATTTGTGTATTTTTATATGCAGCTTAGAACTAACAGTCTACTAAGGCTTTCAGATGGCTAAACATCCTCTACCCCACCCTCAGCCACACCTTGAAAGAATTTTAATACCCCTGGAAAAGTGCCAGCAGGTACAGAGGCGAGCTAAAGAACTCTGTTGAGACTGACTAGTGATAGAAAATGGTCCTCCTGCTTCCCACTTGACTTCCACTTCACCCATTACTGTGGCACTCAATTCAGAAACAGCTAGCAGGGAACCTGCCTCGCTAGCAAACGCATGACCCAAAAAGTTTAGGTCAGAAAGACCAAGATGTGTCGGGTTCCCTAAAAGACTCCGGTTTTTAAACTGTGTCAATTACTTTGAAAAGGAACCTACTGGGCAAATAACCCTTAGTTCATCAACGCACTTGGGAAATGAGGTGAGGGGCCTCAAGAAAGGGTGGGACCCATAAAAGAGTGAAAGAAGAGTAGCGAAACTCAGATGCCAGAGGTCTGGCACACACACACACACACAAAAGGAAAACCACTACAGTATTTTCAGCTAGTCATCATGGAGAAACTGATGCCTCAAGTCTGTCATCTCTCCACTCTCCAATTACTTCTACTCATGAAGGTTCCAGATAGTTCTCTTGGAAGCTGTATGAATGTCCAGAGAGGAAGGGATACTTGTGTAAATTACAGTGCTGAAAATATACATGAAAGCGGTCTTAATAAAATAGGGAATTGCTTGTTAGGGTAAAAAGCTGTTCAAAACTGTACATGTGGCTATAACATCACAAGCTTATCCTCAAATATTCAGAGAAAAAAGACTGGAAGGAAATACACCAAAATGATAAGAACCTGTCTTTGTGTTAAGATCATGGGAGGTTTTTTTTCCTTCTTTTTCTTTATTTTATTTTATTTTATTTTATTTTTAAAGATTTTATTTAGGGGCGCCTGGGTGGCTCAGTGGATTAAGCTGCTGCCTTCGGCTTGGGTCACGATCTCAGGGTGCTGGGATCCAGTCCCGCATCAGGCTCTTCGCTCAGCGGGGAGCCTGCTTCCCTCCTCTCTCTCTGCCTGCCTCTCCGTCTACTTGTGATCTCTCTCTCTGTCAAATAAATAAATAAAATCTTTTTAAAAAAAGGTTTTATTTATTTATTTGACAGAGACACATAGCAAGAGAGGGAACACAAGCGGGGGAAGTGTTAGAGGGAGAAGCAGGCTTCCTGCGGAGAAGTGAGCGGGATGTGGGGCTCCATCCCGGGACCCTGGCATCATGACCTGAGCTGAAGGCAGATGCTCAAGGACTGAGCCACCCAGGCGCCCCTCTCCTTTTGTACGAACTCCAAAGCTTTAGATTTAGGACTTTTCTGTCACCACCTTAAATCTCATCCAGCATCTCCTTTTCTCTATGCATACCATTACATTCACAATAATGGACATAGCTGATGGAGAAGCTACTGGCCTCCTTGGCAGGATTTTCAAGGGTTTCCTTTTGTGTTTCTTAAGATCCCCCAAATAAAACATGAGTTCTTTGAGAGCAGGGACTTGAATTCTTTGCATTGCCCACAAATTTACAAATAGCTTGAAACAAAAAAAAAAAAAAAAAAGGAAAACATGCTAAGTACCGAATCAGTATAAATGTCAAAGAAACAGTAGGTCAGGGTGAAATCTCATTACCAGGGAAATCCTGGCTTTTAAATTTTATGTGTTTGTTATTTCCACATCTTATCTCAAAAAGATTTGTGGCAATGTTTAAGGAAGCATAGGCTATGAGATAACATACATTAAAAATGCCATAAAATTAGGAGCAGGGGGAGGTAGGAAGGGGGAAGGACAGAGTTTTAAAATGGAGCCAGGGGGCGCCTGGGTGGCTCAGCCAGTTAAGCATCTGCCTTCCATTTAGGTTATGATCCCGGTGTCCCAGGATTGAGTCCCTTGTCCAGCTCCCTGCCCAGCGGGAAGCCTGCTTCTCCCTCTCACACTCCCCCTGTTTGTGTTCCCTCTCTTGCTGTTTCTCTCTCTCTATCAAATAAATAAATTAAAATTCTTTAAATAAAATAAAATGGAGCCAGGAATGAACATTGTACCTTAATGAACTTTGCAAGTGTTCCAGTAAGTTCCGAATAACTCCTGCTTCTCAATTATTCCTCTATAGAACCAAAAATATCCATGTCCTTTCTCAGTATTCCCTTTCCTTCAGACAAATTTGTCGAAGCTAACTGTCATGTCTCAGAAACGCTTTTAACACTCAGTTTCCACATTTTCGTTATTTTCTCACCTCCGGGTGAGTACTTTCTGAACAACCTCCCACCACAGTGCCTACCGCTCTGACTACCGCACACGTTTGTGAATGTTCCCTACATTTAGTGACAGAGGGGGATGGTTAATATTGTAAATAACAGCCCCATTTCTCAACTTTTGAAATAGCTTAGTTCTAGCGTGAGGAGACTTTCCTATCTTTAGAAAATCAGCAGTTTATGTTTGAGCAGTATAGAGCACCGGAAGGCAGTGACCCTCTGTTAAGTACCATTGGAGGAATAATTAGATTAGGATGGGCGCAGCTGGTCCCTTCAGGCCCTCATTTTGAGTATTTCAAGCTGGTGCTTGTTGTGAAGATGAAAGGAGTCAGACTCCAATCGCTGAAACTGGGATTTTTTTTTTTTTTCCAGTTTATCAAGTGAGGCTTTCAAGTGCATTTCTTAAATGTTTACTTCTACCTAATGTTTTCCAGTGTATTCAGATGTGAAATCTTATCTGAAATCCTCCACTAGAACCTCGAAGACAATGCAATACTTGTGGTACTGACATCATGCTGAAAAGTAGCCGAGAACTCCAGTGTTTGGAAGAACAGCCCGAGCACTGAAAGCAGCAATATCCAAATAAGGTACCAAGCACTGGTCTTAGATTTAGACCAAATGATACCTCACAGATCTGCCGTCAAAAGCAACCCTTGGGCTGGCTAATCCACAGGTTGACTTCAGCTGTTTCTCTGAGCCTACCTAAACTGTGCTTTTCTGTTTCTAAAAGGCGAATACAGAGTATACCCACTGGGTTCAGAAGAAACAGATGCTGGGTGATAGGAAAAAATAAGAGAAGGTTTGTGTGAATGTGAATGTGGGGGGGGGGGGGTAAAATTGTACTTAAAGCCAGCATCTGAGGCCAGCAAGATGAAATGTAATCAATTACCTGTCAAATACCAGGTGAGCAGAATTCTTTGTCCCAGGGATTGCCAAAAATGGAACATACTGGTAAAGCTACTAGGGAGGTAGAAATCAAGGGGTAGTAATTAGGTTAGGATGGGTGCAGCTGGTCCCTTCGGGCCTTTTTTTTTTTTTTTTTTTTTTTTTTTTTTTTGAGTAGAAGTGGTAGTCACTGCAAACAGCAAGAAAAGGACTGGCAAACCTAGAAACAGGGAAGATTTGCTGGGGGTGGGGATGTTTCAACACAGACCTAAAGAAGGACTCTGGGAAAGCAATGAAATTTACTTCAAGGGGAAAGAAATATGCTGCTTGTACCTACTGCTCTGGAGCACAGAAAATTTTTCGCAGGAAACCAGGCTGGGGGATACTTTAAAAACTTTTTTTTCTTTGGTTTAACTTTGAACGTCATGTCATCTTGTGAAATATTCTGTCCTTGACAAAAATATGAAGTGTTCACACATAGGCTCACATACAAGGTAGCTAATTGCGTGCTCAGTACAGTGCAGGGCACTGAGAGTCATGTAGATGTGCAACAAGTCACAAGGTCTTAAAGGAACATCTATCTAATGTAGGAGGCTTATATTTAAAACATCATAAAGGATATCCACATTCATAAAGAATAAACCAGGCCCCTACCCTACACTGTACATAAAAATTAACTCAAAACAGATCACAGACCTAGATTTAAGATCTAAACTATAAAATTATCAGAGGAAAACATGTGACCTTGGATTAGGCAATAGCTTCTTAGATAAGACATCAAAGCAAAAGCAACAAAAGAAAAACTAAATTGGATTTTATAAAAATAAAAAATACCTAAATTTCAAAAGACAGCATGAAAAATGTAAAAAAAGGGGTGCCGGGCGGCTCAGTGGGTTAAAGCCTAGGCCTCTGCCTTTGGCTCAGGTCATGATCCCAGGGTCCTGGGATTAAGCAGGGAGCCTGCTTCCTCCTCTCTCTCTGCCTGCCTTTCTGCCTACTTGTGATCTCTGTCAAATAAATAAATAAAATCTTTAAAAAAAAAAAAAAAAAGGAAAATGTGAAAAAATAACCCACAGAATGGAAAAAAAAATTTTTGTAAATTGTATATCTTTTAAGGGACTTATATCTAGAATATATAGCTATTATATA